CTTAGAAAATTTGGCGGTCAAGTGGAGTGACCGTCTGTTTTACCAGTAGCAGATCTCAGATTTACATTTTTCTAAGGCAAAGCTCCAAGCGGTACTGGTGCTGCAAAACTACTCAACTGTCTTATTTTAGATTTTTGAGAAGAGAGAGAGAAAACCTTTTTTTTCTGCCAAAGCCTGTATTTAAGTAGAAATGGAGGCTTAATGCCAGACTTGGAAAGATCGGGCCATCCTCACCCAGCTCCATCCAATTCAAACTCAGCATTGTAGCACTTGGCCACAGGACTCTCTGGCGCTCGGGGTTTTGTATGCTCAGACCCTGCTACCTGTTCCACAGGAGAATTTCAGCCAGGAGAGACCTGGACGTTGAATGTTGTGTTTGGCTGAATGTGGAACTAACCCCCTTTTTCCAGAAGGTAAGAAAACAAATCAGTCAACTGTGGGCTACCCAGGGTTGGGGTCTAGATCTGGCCTGAAGGGAATTAGCAGTAAAGAAGAGGAAGGAAGGATGCAAAGAAGCTGGAAAAACCCTGCATTTTACATGCCTTTTTTCTAGAACCTTCTTCATCAAGGTTAACCCTTATAAGCGAAGGACAATACTGCCCTTCAATCACTTCTAAAAGTGGCAGTGAAAAATAAATGATGGCAGCATTTCTCCAACACCACCATCCCCAGCAAACAACCTTGGTTCCTCTAAACCAAGAGACATTATCTCTCTCATCAATCCACATTTTTAGTGTTCACTCTTGACTTACAACAGGAATTAGGAGAGAAACAGATGACTGCCTGGGCAAGGCATGACTGTGAAAACCTGCTTAGAAACCTAGCTTTCCTGGGCTTACCTGCTAGGTCCTGATGGGCCCTGAGATGTCCCACACCTGGCCAGGCAGGCAGACTGGGCCACACCTCACAGTGGGTGCTCCCTGTTTCTATCCCGACACCACCAGGAGGCAGATCAGATGTCTGCCCAGTCTCTCGATGTGGCCATTTCTGCTGTGGATGTGACCTCTTAGGACCATGGAAGGAGCCAACCTGGCAGAGATGTGCTAAGCCAGCAATTGCCGTGAGTAGGGCTGGCTGTCCTATGGTGTGGCATCGTTGGGTAAATGAAGTCATCAGTTTTTTAAGCCCCTCCCACTGCCAGAGTGGATACCTGGGCTTAGCGGTGTGGGTGTGGGGCCGCGTGCCCACAATTACCAACACAGGGCCCGAGAGCATGGGTGTGCGTATGTTTAATAAGTGCTCACGCCTGTGCTTTGAGGGAAGGGGAGAAAGGCAGCAGGGGCAGCAGTGAGGAGAGATCAAGACTGCAGAATGAGATGAGAGAACTCCAGAGAGGCCAGAAAAATCCCAAAGATACTGCGGGGTTGGGAGGCTCATTTTCTCCCTGGTGTCCCTGCCTGGCTCACCCCAGCCTGGTCATCCCCTCTGCGGGCCTCCTGCCCCCCTTCCTGGGTTGTCTCCCCTTTGCCTACCTGGCTTCCCTCCCTGGATACCTGGTTCCCAGCTGCAACACTAAAGTCTATAAATTCTATTGAAGTGCCATAGCTATGGTTATTTATTAGGATGCAAAGGATGTTATTGCCAAGGCATAGTATCTCCTCAGTGGAGGTGTTTCCAGTGAGGAATGAGGCGTCTAACATTGGGGAAAGGAGAAAGACTGCATGGCTCTAGTGAAATTCCAGAGGTAGACAGCTGTGTCTCATCATCCTGTTTCATCCCTCTGCACTTTCATTGTTCACTGTCCCCTCTTATAAAGAAGCTGTTTGTATGCTCCATGTGAGATCAGAGGGGACCCTGTGCCCTCAAGCTACAGGAGGTGTGGTTATCTTCAGCATGTTGCAAAGAAGGCTTTTCAATTCTCATTTCCAGAGAGCAGGTGGTTTCTGGGAAGATGAGATTCAATAAGTCTCCAGTTTTCAGTGTTGTCTTCTGCTCACCAGTGTGCATTAGGCTGAATGATGACTGCATAATTTCACAATATACAAAGGCTTTCCTTTTGCCTTTGTTATTTATGATCAGAATATTTGTTTTATGAACAGTCAAGAAAGCTGAAATATAGGTCAAAAAATGCTGGAAGGGATAGTGTTTTCCACACCCTTCCTCAAGTCAGTGTGTTCTGCGTGTACCTGTATTATCTATTAAAAGATAACTGAAGCATATTAAAAATTTTGAGCTTTTTGAGTAGAAGTTGGTTTGAATTAGGCAGCATTCAATCTAGCAGATTGGAAGGAACAGGTAGGGGGCTCTTCAAACTGAAGGGAACAGGAACAGACGGTGCCAGAAGGAATAAACAAAAGGCAGAAGGACACAGAATGAGGAAGTTAAATTCTGGGCAAAAAAAGCAGTTTGCAGTGTCTCAGGTGGAGGATTATTGGGGCTTTGGTGGTGGGCCTGGTGTGGAAACACACATTGGTAGAGGTTAGAACCTGTAACCCCTAAAACAAAGCTGTAAGTCACCTTTACCTCAATAGCTATAAAGGGGGAAAAACAAGTGGGGTGGTTATTGCAAGTTTACTTTTCCTTTAGGCAATGGCCGGGGTCTGAGGCCAAGCCTCCAAAGTGCTGACCAGGTCATTCCTGCTTGACTGGCTGATGATTCCATTTCTGGGGCAGCAGAAGTTGGAACCAAAGTCTTTGGTATTGTCTTTAGCATAAGCAACTCCATCTTGGGTCTGTTGTCTTTATCTTTTTAAATTTTTTTTTATTGATTTATGTGTACAGGAACTCGGGTATAGGTGATGAGAGGATTCACCAGAGACAGAGTTGGGAGCAGAATAGGCAGAGCAACTGAAACACACTGCTGAGGGGAGCAACAGGCAGGTCAGGAGAGGTCTGCCAGCCATGTGGGTCACCTCCCTGGCTGGGATTGATCTGCTGCAGTGGCTATGGATAGCTTCATAGTGCTCTGTTTTTACCCTGTTGTGCATCAAGGAGGACCCTGTTGTCATTTTTCTTAACATACCTAATGGTGTAACACACCATCATCCGGTGAAGATCTAGCACATGAATAAATGTGCTTTTGGTGTGTTATTTTTTATCTGCATTAACTCGCACTTTGGAGACACGAAGCATATATAATATGCAGCAGCTTTTTTGTTCTTTCTATACAATTCATGCAATGGCTTTTCTGTAATAATTTTTTTAGTGGTTTCTAAAATACAAGAAAGTTCTTTTTCCTTCTCTTCATTTTACTTCAGGAGTTGTCTTTTGGGCTATTGAGTAGGGCCACACAGCAGGCTGTGATTTTCTATATTTTGCTATTTGTGGTTTTCTGAGGCTGTTAAATTCTCAAGCAGCGCAAATGGGCATGCAAGGGAAGGTCTGTCTAACAGTGTCTGTGTTTTAAAAAACAATAGATTCTGTGCATCGCTTTCTTGGTGTAACAGCCTCTGCTCTGGTTCTTTGACTACAAAATAGTTTCAACCACATGGCAGGGGGTGGGGGGGGGGCAAGTGAGTCCATTAAGCCTCCAGAGGGCTTGCAGCTTGAGCAAGGCGGCCCCTCCCAGCAAAGAAGCTCAAGCATAGCCCCCCAGAGACGCAGGTGGGGTCTGGCCCTGTTATTCAGTCATAATTAAAGAATACAGAATAGTTAAAGAATATGGTTATAATTAATTATTCACGGTAATAATTAAATATGGAATTTTTTACAATGATGATGACTTGTTCAGCATTCTTCTAGGGTAAGTCTGTATGTTCTCACCTCTTTAACTCTTTAAGTTCAGTTAGGAATGAGGCCTTCAATGAGCCTTTCATCAGCCAAGAAATACATGCCGGGTGTTAGTTCTCCCATGGGACTAGATGCAGAATATCCCCACTATCAAGGCTGCTGCCTTGGGAGCTGAGTCTATTTCACATTGAATGCACCAAGATTACCACCTCATATGTAAGGGTGGAGTTTGTTTTTAGTACACCAGTTTAAAATGTAAGGGCCCCTTTGTGGTAGCTGCTGTTGTAGGTTATGCAGGTATTCTTCTAGACTTGCTCTTAGCCAAAAGGCCAAGCAGTGATAAGCCTGCTTTATTCTAGAATTTGTGATAAACACACTCACATTTTCTCATTTAGCAATGGCTAAATAAATCCATGGGCTTTGGAGCCAGACTGCCTGGGATTCAAATCCTGATTTTACCACTCAGCCATTTTATAACCTTGTCTAGTTATTTATTGCTTATGGCCACTTTAGTGTGCCTGTTTTTAAATGAGGACGATGAAATTATATTATGGAGTCGACATATGTACCAAACAAATTAGTTTACATAAGCCTTGAGTCTGGCACATTAGCAGGTGATTATACTAGAAAGACTTCATAGGTCATGTTAGTATTTCCCCCTAACTTTGCTTACGTCACAGCTCATACTTAGCTGTCACAGCACCCCTGATCTCCAGGTAGGTGTGTGGCCACCTGTGTAGACTGAATGCTTTTTTTTTTTTTTAAGATTTATTTATTTGTACACACAGAACTGGGGTACAGGCCACAGGCTCAGGGGTGGCGAGAGGCTTCACCAGAGACAGAGTGGGGAGCAGAACAGGCAGATGGACGAAGTACACTGCTGAGGGGAGCAGCGGGCGGGTCAGGAGAGGTCTGCCACGCCTTGTGGTCACCTCCGGGGCAGGCGGGAATCGAACTCATGCGGAAGTGGCTTTAGCTTCTCAGTGCTGTGCTTTAACCCGCTGCACCACCAGGGAGGGCCCTGAATGCTCTTTGGTGCGGTGTGGTGCTGTTGGAGGAAGATGTGTGTGATTTGTTTTCGTAGTGCCTGGTCTACATGTTTGCTGAATGAATTTGGGAAAGATGACCTGAGACTCATTCCTTGAGTAGTCAGCTGGTGAATACCTTAGAGTATACCTTACCCTGTCTTTCTTGATTGGAGGCTTGAACAAAGGTAGATGGGAGGTTAGAGAAAAGAGTCACTAAAAGGGTACTGAAAGTGGGTATTTTCCCAGGTGGTGAGAACGGTGACCGTGTGGGTGGGCACTTGCTGGTGACTTAGAACTATAATCTTTCGTTACACGCAAAACTGAATATTTTATTTTGATCATAGAGAACATTCAAATTGTTTAAATAGTAAAACAATTCTATAAACTAATGTATTTTATTGCAATTTCTTATTGAAGTTACATTCCTTCCCGACCTTTCCCTACAAACTTTCAGCACTAAGAACAGTCTTTATCAAAATCACTTCACTCTGCAGGTCTGGAGATATTCATCAGGAAGGTTTCAGTCACCTCACTGGTATTTTCTGTAATTTTCATTCTCCTATAGTCGATAATCCTCAGGTCTGAAAGATAAAAGCAACATTTGTTTCTTCATGAATCATCATGTCATTCTCTTCTGCTTGATAAAGGAAGATCTTTTTTCAGTTTGAAATATCTACACAGATGACCTCTTCCATCTCACCCTGTCCCCTGCATGGTGTTCAGTAAGTTTGCCTTTTCTATTCTCCAAGCAGATAAATAAAAATGAAATTGCTACAAAAATCATATATAAACTTTTGGCGAAAAACACTAAAGCCCAAATCATTACAAAATAAATGACAACCCCAGATTCGTAAACACAGGCCACCTTGCTTCTATGTATGAACGTATTTAGTAACTTAAACACTTCAATTCATCTTCTCTGTTCTACTTTTAAGCATTCTTTTGTAAAGTCCTCTGTATAGAAAGGATTACTGTGATCTTTTAACTCCTCTCGATGATATGGATTAACCCATAAAGAGAAATTTTAAGTAATTTTGTTTTATGTCAAATTTAATGTCCTCTATGAAACATGTACAAAAAAGTATAAATACCAAATGTATAAATACTTTGATATTTTAATTACATATATATAACTGCTTTTCCCCCTAACATATTTATCATGCCTGAAAGTTGCATTTACTAACACATTAAAATGAAGGGCAATTTCAGGAATACTTGAAATCATAATAATGGAGAAAATGAAGAATACAAAATTTTAACATGCAAAACTTAGTGTCCTGTTAGTTTCTACATACTAGTTGTTTTACTCATATGGACTCTTCAGTAAACTAAAGAGATACTTTTTTTTTTTTAAATATTTAAAGAGTAAGTTTATTAGAAAGAGAGGAGAGAGGAAAAGACACTTGCATAGGCACAAGCGGGCAGGAAGAGCTGCCTAAAGAGATACTTTTGAAACAGCTGTAGAAGTATGTTATAGTTCAAGTTTTCTTCAAAATGTAGACCTCTTCTTGCTCCAAACCAATTTAGGTAGTTCCTTTCTACAACATATTTCCTTACAAAAAATACATACAAGATACCAGAGTCCAGCTATGAAGACAGACAGACAGTCTAGTGGCTGTACATGAACCACATCACAACTTCAAGTTTCTTGTTAACTCTGAGGACCACAGCCCTGGATCCGGGAAACCAGCCAAATAAGCTTCACCCTATCAGCCTCCTGAACAGCAAAAGAAACTGCAGAATTCTGTCACTATTTTGGAAATCTCTTTCCAAATGTGAAAACTGCATCCAGATTCTCGGAGGTAATGGTTTGATAGCATAAGCTAAGAGTGGCTGCAAAACGTCTCTTTCAATCTTTGGTATGTGGCTCACACCAAGTGGCTTCCAGTCAAGAGACACCAGCACATTTTGAGGAATCATTTTCTTCTCCCACCCAGCTGGTTCCTATAATCATAAAAGAATGATGGTGCTCCTTTTGGAAAGAATCTTCTAAGTGAATGTATTAACAAGAAGGCTCTACAACGTCACTCAATAAAATTAAATGTGCTTAGTCACAGTCTAGTTATTTCCACACCAAAAGTTAATTTACTAAGTAACAATGAGGTGAAAAAAGAACCTATCAGTGGAATTTAGGAGCACAATTGGAAAAGCATGTGAAGGGTGTCATTCATTGTGTAAACAAGGGAGACAGTGACATGGGGGCCCAGGGGGCTAATAAAGTCCACATTTGTTTCAAGTAGATTTCTTTTGGAGCAAGTAAGGAGGAGGAATTAAATTGTAACAGAAAGTAGAAGAAAGGACAGGTCCTGGATTTAAGGGAAGTAACATGTTGAGGGGAGAGGGTGGGAAGGCTGAGGGATGAAGGAAACGATAAATCCTAGATGACCACTAAGTTTCAACCACAGTGAGCAGTGACGCTACTTAGTTTTCAGGGCAGGGCATCCAGGCAAGGATCTTGTTTTTGGATGTGATGAAATGGGGCCATGCAGGCGGCTAGGAATTAAGAGCTTGGAATTCAGAACTGAATTCTAAGCCAACGAAGAGAGAGGTGAGAACACAGGTCCCGTCTCCACCCACTTTCATATAAGAAGTGAGAAACTTCAGCAGCATGTCACTGCTGTGTCAGAGTTCAAACACTGTGACCTTCAATACAGAGCCGACATCACTCGGCCCTGCTGGCCTCCCTGTGTTGTTCTACCCTGGCCCTCCAGTATCCTACCCCACTGCACTATCTGCCACCACCTGGAAACGTGGGACTTTTCTGCTTGGTTTATCTCTTATCTTTCCTCTGCTTTGCAGACTTGACTAATTTTTCAAAATTCACTTGAAATGCGCATTTTCTGGAAAGTTCTCTACTGCTCTTCCTTTCTGAAGTAGGTAGGGCTCTTCTCTAAGGCTGCCAGAGAACTTCATGCATACATTTATTTATTCAGTGTTTCTCAAAGTATAGTTATAGAATGCACCCAAAATAGAATGTATCAGAATTACACTAAAGCAGAGACTGTTAAATTTGTTTTATAGTTATTAAACAATTTTTAGTAAATAGTAAAAAACCAATCATGAATTTCTATACCACATGAATTAAAATTCAATTCCTCTCTCAGGGACATAAGATTCTATTCACTTATTCACCAAAGATAATATTGAGTGTTAGGTTCTGTGTAGGCTTGGAGAACACAGTTCCAGAAGACAAAATCCTATCTTCAGTTAGCATTCCCTAACAAAGGAACAGACATGCATGAAGATACACACCTTTGTCATGAAGCTGAAACTTTTAAGCTTTCATATATGTGCTCATTGTCTATGTGGGGATATAATGAATCTTTAGAGAAGATGTTAAGAGTTTAAGTTATCTTTCAAATTATGCTGAGCTTTCAGCTTCTAAATGTTCTAGAACATTTATTTTGCATTTACCACTAGTCACGAAAAGGAAATACTTTTAAAGAAAATACTTTTAAAACAAACACTATGTTTTTTAAATGAGGAAACAGAACTGACAAAAGGCCTGTCTGAACTGTAGAAAGTATTCTATGTTTGAGATTGCTCACAATCATTTAAAACTGTACCTCATCTCACATAATTCTCCCTTTTCTCTAGCAAATTCTTTACCTCCGACATCCTTCTGCAGAACACTGCCTTCCATTAAATTAAACAAGCAAATGCTACCACTTATGAAAAGGAGACTAGTCCACCCGGAAATGATAAGGGGCATTGCATTTCTATTATATTAAAAGTGGGGACATTTCTGTAAAAGAATTAATTTTTTGACCTGAGGGGAAATTTTTCTCTGCTCAGGTGTGGTCCCTATAAATCTCCACTACCGTACCAGCTGTGAACCGTCACCATAATCCCTGTACTCTTTTCTTCCCTTCTTGGAGCCCTCTCCCTCACCACTCCCTGCTAAATGCCGCAGATCTGGGCTCTATAGTTTGCAAGTTTTGTCTTTCTCTCTCTCTTTGATCCTTAGTTGCTTTCTCTATATTCCTCCTATATGAGTTTGCACTGTAAACGTGTAAGAAGTCATTTGACAAGGGCTTCTGTCACAGTTCCTAGACATATTTAATATTATTTTTCCAGGGGATGGGGGTGGGGGTGAAGGAACATTTGAATTTTAGCTGTAAATCCATTTGGGTATTAACTTGTGTGCAGTAAATCTCAAAAATATTTCATTCTGCCTTAGGTCTATGTCCTTAGGTCTACACCTTTTCACCCCTAAGTAATATTTCTCAATGTAATCTTTACTACAATAAAACACTTAAAAGATTAGAATAAAATTTGAATAGTGGAGTATTTAAAACATAAAATATCATGATTAAAGATCATGTGGCTGAGTTTTAAGTCATTTCTATATGGATGGAATTATTCAGAGTAAGCCACACTAGGAAGTGCAGTGACATGAAACATTAATTCAACTAATGTTGTGAGTTGTAAAGGTAAAGTTACCTTTATACTCATTTTATCACACACTGTTTCAAAGGTTTAACAGTGATTCGTATTAAACCGCTAAGATTGTTAAATTTTTTTTTGTTTTTTAAAGATTTATTTATTTGTACATACAGAACTGGGGTACAGGCCAGAGGCTCAGGGGTGGCGAGAGGCTTCACCAGAGACAGAGTGGGGAGCAGAACAGGCAGATCGATGAAGTACACTGCTGAGGGGAGCAGCGGGCTGGACAGGAGAGGTCTGCCATGCCATGTGGTCACCTCCGGGGCAGGTGGGAATTGAACTCATGCGGAAGTGGCTTTAGCTTCTTAGTGCTGTGCTTTAACCCGCTGCACCACCAGGGAGGGCCAGATTGTTAAAATTTTTAATTCAAGGTATTACTTGGTTTTTCAATTAGAATGAACAGGCATTATCGTTAGATTCAATGTCACATCTTAATCATAATAAACTCTATTAGCTCCCAAGTATGGATTTGTTTTTTGTTGTTTAAATAGAGATTGCTTTTTTGCAATCAGTCTGAATATGTTTACATCCAAAGAACCAGCAGATTTAGAAAGTCTAAACTTGAGCAAAATGTAGCACTGGAAATACTGAGGTCTATGGTTTAAGCCAAAGCTGAGCTGGGTTGAGTGGGAAAGTTGGAATACAACCTTGTCCCTAGTCCAGCTAATAACTTCTGACTGTGAAGAGCAGCAAATTAAGAAAATCTTATGGGAAAAAATGCCAGATGACTAGACTAGCATAAAGTTGTGGAAAATCTTGGAGATGTCCAGATTACAGCTCTTTATGGGTTTTGAAAAGGTAAAAAGTCTCTAGGACTAATTTTAAGTAAGCCTCTGATGTGAAGTGCATTTTATGAAGGTCTAAGTAAAAATATTTTTTTCTGGGTATTAACTTACAACGGAAAATCTCTCTAGATGTTTAGAATTAACAGCTCTTATGTCAGAGGGCATATCTCATGCTCTAATTATTTGCTCTCCTCTAGAGATGCCACCAGGTCCCATTCAGTGCTAAGGTTCCTCTCACTGTCTTCTCTTTCATGGCTGGATGGATTACCTATTAAACTTCCTGAAGTTAATTCTACTTTCAGCACAGAAAGTAGAACAGGCCAATTATGGTCGTCCTCGCACCTCCTAGCTTTGGTCCTTCCCAGCCTCTCTCCTTTGCAGGCACACCTCCAACAGCACCCACTATAAAGATATCAGACACCATGAACAGGAGGTTCCATTATAAACATCTGCTTTTCAAAATTTATTGATGCACTTATTGGTGTAGAAACTTTCCGCACTTAGTCAGAAACAAAGTCTACATTTCTCTTTTGGTTTTGTTTCATCACTGTGAATAATGCAAAGTAAATTCAAATTGGGATTTTCTACCGATCCTATTTTTCCTAAGAAAAACTCTAAGAAAAACTTTCCTACAATATCCTGTAAAAATTAAAACTAAAAAGTTTAAAATGACCCAAATTGCATTTTTATTGTACTAATCAAAAATATCAATATTATAATTTCCATGGATACTGTGGTTTTATTAATATAATGTGTTGATAAAACGGCAACAACTAAGTAAATATTGTTGATAGGATGAAAAGAAATCAACTATTTGAAAGCTACAATCTCAGATAGCTGATTATAAAAGAACGGTAGTGTCTGTTTTTTTCTTAATGAATTCCCAGTGCATACTCTATAGTGACCACTCATAAGTGAACCACTTATGAGTGGTCACTATAGAGTAACACATCTTTTATGCACCATAAACACATCTTTTATGTACCATCAAGAAACTGTAATTTCACAACATTTCCAACACTATGTATCCAAGCAAAAAAATGCCAATAATAAGTGTCTATCTACTCATTTAAGGAGTATAAGTAATATTTTTCATATGAAAGAATGCCTTTTAGTTATAAACTTAGATTTAACCAAAAAGCTAAAATAGTTGCAGTTGCAAAATCTATATTATAAACATTTAAAATTTTATTGGTAAGGAAACAAACAAACAAAAAAAAAAAAAACAAAGCAAGCTATTTTGTGCCTATTTATTGATGGTGTAATCCAGGTTCATCTATTTCAGTCAAGTCTCTACAGATTCACCACCAGATCTACCTTGAATAAATTCCAAGGTAAGATTATATTTTTGGCTCAATTACTTTAAGTGGAACAAAAACATATATTAAGCAGGTTTCTTCTCTCAATAGAGATTTATTTTTCTTATGAAAGCAAAATACCAGAAAGCAAAATCTACCAGAATGAAAAATTCTACTTTCAGTGAGTTACATTGCATGGTGCGTCAATTATTTTTAATTCCAGTTCTAACATATATAATACTTAACACCAGAACTTTACAAAGGGAAACAACAAACATAGCATATTTTGCAGTCTACTAGACATATGAAGATACTAAAATTTAAATTTATTAAAGTCACAAATTTAAAAAGTCAGTACTTCAGCCACACTAGCCACATGTGAGTACCTAAGAGCTGCATGGGGTGAGTAGCTATTTATTAAGCAGCTCAGATATGATGTTCATTTTTTTTTTTTTTAATCATTTGAGGGAACATTCCATTGCTGAACTATTTCTTTTTTTGACTTAAAAATTTATGTATTTTACATAATTTTTCTTTTTTGTACGCTTGTGTGCTTTCTCCTCTCAGGTGTAGTCCTGTAAAATTCCTACCACCAAGTTTCCCATGCGCCATCACCAGGGGCCCTGTGTTCTCTCCCATTTTGATCCTGCGAGGCTCTTCCCTCACAGCATGTCTCTGATTTATGGTTGCCTGCTATTTTTTTTTTTTTATTGCTGAACTATTTCTTAAACAAGTTTTAGTTAATCCAAACATGCATATTTCTTTCTTGCTCACAAGCATTCTAGAGTAATAAGAACTAACTGGGCTTGATGTCAGTTGATGTACAGAAGAAAGAAATGTTGAATGACTTATCTTAAAAAAAGTATAAATATGCCATGATATAGTCCTGAATTTCAATAACTGTGTACCCACATTATGATGTTGGGAACACAAGCTAACATATGTTGTCTGGTTACTCATAAGGAAAGATCACAACTTTAATAGGCATGAAAGCAAGCCTGGTGTCTAATCTACATTCCTGTCATAGGAAAATAGGGAATGAAAAGAAAGAGCAGGAAAATCCATTCTCAGTGCAGGGAACTCAAAAGCATTTTAGTGCATCCAAGTTTCTTTAAAAGTCTCCACAGAAATAATTACAGTAAAATGAGCATTTTGATCAGTATGCTCTAAAATAAATTAAGTATAGTATGGTTATTATATTACCTAGTGCCTGTTATCATGTCTGTTAAATTTCTGTGGAAAGAATACAGGTGTTGGAATCAAGTAGGTACAAATCCAGGCTATACCCATGGCTTACTCTTAAAAATTAAACATGTCTTTTAGGTCTGTGGAAAGTATCAGAGTGTGCATAAACTACCTAGCAAGTGCTGGGCAAGTGGGAAGCACTCAATATGCGATGAGTAATGGTAGTATTTTGCTTATCATGTGCAGATTTAGTAAAGAACCTTGACACAAATCAGAAGTCACAAAAATTTACACACATCAAAGGCTTCTGGGTGCAAAGAGTGTGAGCATTCTATGCACATACACCCAATAACAGGAAAGTTCATGGTCAGGTTCCTGGACATACCGGCAGTCCGAGGAAGGCTTGGATTTTCTTGAGCCTATCTGGCTAAAGAGAGAGTCTCAGAGTACGAGCAGTACCTGAGGGAGGATCAGCTGTCTTGTGCAGGTCAAGGAATGAGGATGTGCAGTTCTCTCTAGACTGCATCAATTCTGTAACATTACCCAGACCCCATCCTGTTGAGTACTATTCTGTGCACTGCAGATACAATGATGAACAGGTGAAGTCCCAGCTCCTGAGTGCTATACTGGTGATGACAATGTACCCAGCAGCTACCAGAGCAGAATGCGTCTGGGCTCCTACTCTGGTCCTGACATTTAGATGTGGTTTCTTAAAGCAGATGACATCGGAACTAGGGTTTAAAGAATGAGTAATTTACTCCAGCATGAGGAAAGGGGCATGCTGTTTTAGGTAGAAGTAATAGCAGAACAAAGGCAAGGAAGAGTTAAATAAAAAGTGTGTCTACAATGAGATACCACCTCACCCCAGTGAGAATGGCACATCTTCAAACAACTAGCAACAACAAATGTTGGCGAGGATGTGGAGAAAAAGGAACTCTC